GGGGGGGGGGGGGGGGGGGGGGGGGTGGTCAAGAGATGCTGTCCAGAGTTGACAGAACTAGAAAATGTTTAATATATTTTATCGGGAGGAATAAATTATACTGGGTTATAACTTTAATGGGAGAAGGGAAGGAGAAATAGGATGATGGGGATGTTATAGGCTAAATCTCAAGTACCATAGAGAGTATTTAAATAATCCCTAAAATTAAAAGAGCAAGAAATAGCACTACAAGCATGTTGTTTAGAGACAGGGAGGAAATCCCCACGTGAACGAAAGGCAGAAGTGGTTAATAATCCTTACCTCTATAGAAGAGCACAGGAAGAGGGAGGGCTGGGGAATGGCTGTACTGTTGGACTTTCTAACCATGACTTTGTTTTACCCTTAAGAATAGGCAAGGATAAAAAATGATTAGGGTAAAATAGATTATCTGAGTTCATGGGAACAACTACCACTGAGTAGTTCCTCATTTGTATCACTGTAGCTGACAGGAATTATCAAATTCAATTCTTTGCTCGTTTATATAACACTACTGCCAATTAAAAACAAATTAGGGCCTGGCCGGCGTGGTTCAGTGATTGAGCATCGACCTGTGAACCAGGAGGTTGAGGTTCAATTACCGGTCAGGGCATATGCCTGGGTTGTGGGCTCAATGTCAGGTGTGGGGCGTGCAGGGGGCAGCCGATGTCCTTCATTTCCCCACCTCTTCACCAACCTCCACCCAGCCCCAGCCCCACTCCCTCTGGCCATCACCACACTGTTGTCTGTATTCATGGGCTATGCATATATGTTCTTTGGCTAATCTTTTCACCTTTCACTCAGGTCCCTCCTACTACTCTCCCCCCCCCCCCCCAACCACTGTCAGTCTGTTCCATGTATCCAAGCCTCTGGTTCTATTTTGTTCATCAGTTTATTTTGTTCATTAGATTCCATACATAAGTGAGATCATATGGTATTTATCTTTTTCTGTCTGGCTTATTTTGCTTAGCATAATAATCTCCAGATCCATCCATGCGTCCCTTTTACAGCTGCATAGTATTCCATTATGTAAATATACCACTACTTTTTTAAAAAATATATTTTATTGATTTCTTACAGAGAGGAAGGGAGAGGGATAGAGAGTCAGAAACATCGATGAGAGAGAAACATCGATCAGCTGCCTCCTGCACATTCCCTACTGGGTATGTGCCCGCAACCAAGGTACATGCCCTTGACCAGAATCGAACCTGGGACCCTTGAGTCCACAGGCTGACGCTCTATTCACTGAGCCAAACCGGTTAGGCTATACCACTACTTTTTTATCCACTCATCTACTGATGGGCACTTGGGCTGTTTCCAGAGTTAACCAATAAATTTTGCTAAATAACAGCTCTAATGTTATTTATTAGGGTACAGGAGGCAGCCAATCCATGTCTCTCTCTCATTGATGTTTCTCTCTATCCTTTTCCCTTCCTCTCTCTAAAAATCAATAAAGAAACATATTGAAATAACACTAAATCAGGTGAAGAGAATCTTGAAGATTCTCGTTTTAATCCCTCTTATTTTGTCAAGGTCTCATTTAGTGCACCGGGCCTCCAACATCCCCTAAGGGGTCCTAGATTGCGAAAGGGCACAGGCCAAGCCCAGGGATTCGTGCACCAGGCCTCTAGTATGCATGTAAGATCTTTGGTTAATCTCTTCCTGCCCTCCCCCCCTTCCCTCTGATATTCGTCTGTTCCACATTTCCATGCCTGTGCATTGAGTGTCTGCCCCCTGGTGGTCAGTGCACCTCATAGCTACTGGTCAGTTGGCCATAGCTACTGGTTAGAGGCCCGGTGCACAGGAGGGGTCTGGCCGGCCCACCCCGATGGGGGCCTATCAGGGCAGGGCCAGCAGGGGGGAGGGGACACAGGAGGTTGGCTGGTCGACCCCACCCCCAATCAGGGTCGGGGGAATGCCAATCCAGGGCAGGGCCAGCTGCGGGGAGGGGCTGCGGGAGTTTGGGCGTGGCTGATCAAGGCCCTGATCAGGCGGTTGTCTGCCGCAGTGCGCATCATAGCCACTGGTCGTTCTGGTCATTCTGGTTGTTCTGGTCACTTGGCTTTTATATATATAGATAACATTCCATTGCATAGATAGATCACATTTGCTTATGGATATTTAAGTTGTTTCCACTTTGGGGCTATTATAAAAATACTGTTAGACACATTCCTGTGCAAGTATTTGCTTGAACATCTATTTTCAATTCTCTTGGGTATACACACCTGAGTAGAAATGCTGGTTCATATGGCAATCCATGTTTAACTTTTTGAGAAAGGCCAATCTGTTTTCCAAAGTGGCTTTACAATTTTTAAAAGCATTCCCACCAGCAATGCATAAATGTTCCCTCACTCCACATCCTCACTGGAACTTGGAAATGCACGTTTTTCAATAAATTTAGCCACTCAAACAGGTATTTCATTGTGGTTTTAATTTGCATTTTTCTAATGGCTTAGTGATGTTGACTATCTTTTCATGTGATTGTGTGTATATTCTTTGGAGAAATATTTAAGCCTTCATTCATTTTTAAATTGGGTTATCTTTCTGTTATTGAGTTTTAAGGGTTCCTTCTAAAATAACTTAAATTAAAAATATATTTTAAAAAGTACATTAAATAATAGCACAATTGGGCAAAGATAGTGAAGGCGATATAGTAGTACCCTTTTCTGCGGAGGATATGTCCCAAGACCCCAGTATATGCCTGAAACCACAGAGAGCACCAAATCCTACATATACTATGTATTTTCCTATGCATATATACCTATGATAAAGTTTAATTTTTTAATTAGGCATAATAAGAGATTAGCAATAAACAATAATAAAATATAACAAAATGCCCTGGCTGGTGTGCATCAGTGCGTCCTCCCATGCACCAAAAGGCCATCGGTTCCATTCCAGGGCAGGGCACATACCCAGTCAGGGCACATACCCAGGCAGGGCACATACCAGGGTTGCAGGCTCGCTCCCCAGTAGCTCCCGGAGGGTGCAGGAGACAAAAGATCAATGTATCTCTCTCTCCCTTTCTCTCTCTAAAATCAATAAAAACATATTTTAAAAAACATATAACAATATACTGTAATAAAAGTTATGTGAATGTGGTCTCTCTCATAATGTCTCATGGTTGTATGTAGTGTGTGGATACCTTCGACAAAGGAATGATTCATATCCTGGGCAAGACGGGGCAGGAGAGCACAAGTTGCTACTCAGAAAAGGGTGCAACTTAAAACTTATTATTGTTTATTTCTGGAATGTTCCATATAATGTTGTCAGGCCAGGCCAGCGTTGGCCCAGGATAACTAAAACAGTGGAAAACAAAACCACGAGTAAGTTTGTGGGTGTAGGAGGAGGGGCGGGCGGAGGAAGACGACTGCATACAACTCAGGGACTTACTTGAGCAACACTAATTCAGATGTTCAGAGCAAGAATTCTGGTCACATCATCCAAATTCAAACCCCAGCTCTGCCTGGAAAGTGCTGTGCCTGACATTTTAGTCAAGATATTTAATAACCTCTCTGGGACTAAGTGTCTCCCGCTTGAAAACGGGAACGGCCACGTCAGGTAGTTGTTGGAACAAATGAAATGACGGCTGGGAGCACTTACTCAATGCTTGGGACGGATAAGCACTCTAGAAATGCGAGCCATTACGTGACGCGACTCGGCCCGCAGTTCTACAGGTTCAGCGGGCAGGCCATGCTCTCCCCAACTGCAAGAACGGAACACCCCGTGTTAGCCGCCACCGGGCACAGACCTTTATGCGCATGTGCCTTTTTCCACAACCTTGCGCCGGCGCCCGCCCCTCGCTCGGAGCCGCGGGGCTAGAGCCGCCTGACTTCCGTTTCCGGGGTTGTCGAGAGTCGGCTTCCGGCGGCGTGACCTGAGCACGTTGAGTCGGCGGCGTGCCGGAGCCGGAAAGGTCTGCGCTGCGGGCCGGTAAACGGGCGGCGGGTGGGAGTGGCTGGGTGTGAAATCGCTAACCCTTGCGAGGGAGGGGCGGCCTGGGTCTTGATCCTTGGGGTGGTGCCGCGCCGGACTTCGTCCTGGTGTCATTGTGGAGCCCTTCTCGCTGTCTGTCCCTGTCCTTGGCCGCCTCTCGCCATTTCTGTAACGAGGGCCCAGCGGGTGGGTGTCCGGAGCCACTGATGGGCCCCCTGACCTTAGGCAGGATATGTCCTTTTACGGACTTGGGTCTCCTTCTTTATTTATTTAATCAATCAGCTTTTTAAAAAAAAATATTTTTTTTATTGATTTCAGAGAGAAAGGGAGAGAATCATTGATCAGCTGCCTCCTGCACGATGGATCGTGGATCGAGCAGCAACCCGGGCATAAGTCATGACCTCCCGGTTCTTAGGTTGGCGCTCAACCACAGAGCCGCCACTGGCGGTGCTAGCCTCCTCCTTTAGAAGCTGGAGGTCTTATTCACAGTGATTGTGAGCTCATTAAGGTTAGGAATTGACTTTTATTAGTGTTAGACACTGTCGCTTGACCCTGGTTATGGAACAAGGACACTGTAAGCACTCAGTGCCTACTTCTAGGTTGCAAAACCTTAAAAAATCTGGTGAGAGCTATTGATCTCCACTTCCACCTCTCTAACCCCAACCCCATCCATGTTCAGGTACTGGGAATTTGGCTTACTACTTCAGATATTTCACAGATCTCTCTTGATGCCCAGTCATGGGTTCCGGAGCCTGGTCAGTAATAGGCACTAAAATATGTGTAGTCAGTGAAGTTCAGTTTATCATTTTTAAACGCATGAATCACTATCTCCTTCACAGGAGGAAGATAGATATCCTATTAGCAAGTTTTAATTATGGGCCTGGAAGTATGCTATTCTCACTTAAGTCTCCCAACAACTCTAGAGGAAGATATTCTTTAATTCCCATTTTGCAGATGAGGAAATTGAGGCATAGGAAAATAAACTTGTTTTATGTTATTCAACCTATGAATGGTGAGGACAGGAAGTCAAATCTGTGTCTGAAATTCCAATTCCCATGTTCTTAACTGCTATCTAAAAAAGGCCAAGATGCAGAAATGTATTTGAATGCGCTCTAGTAGCCTCTGTTTTTGGAGTGTTAACTATTATAGTTATGAGGTGGCTATTATCAACATAGATGATCCCAAACCAAACATTGTGTGCTGTGAAAATTCTTTTGTCTTTATTCTTTTTCCCCCATAGTATCTATATTGCTTATTTAATAATATATTTTACATCTATGCCCATGTTATTCAACCCTTTTATCTTAAGTGAATACTGATTCAGGCATTGTTGACTGAATATGGCTATATCAGTTGTGTTGCCTTGTTCTTCTAGCCCTCCAAAACAGATGTTTTTATTTATAGTTGATATATGAGGTGATAATGTTTGGAGATTATTTTTTTCTTTTCTGTACTGCTTTTGAAGGGACTGTATCAATAATTTTGGAAGCATTGCCAACATGTCTGATGTTCAAGAAGCCACTAACCAACTTTTGCATGTGAACCTTCATGAGAACCAGAGATATATACACGTGACAGAAAGTGTCCCCAGAAGTGAGTCCGAGCATCTTCGAGTCACTATTGGAGCCACAGTACCTACTGGTTTTGAGCAAGTAGCTGCAGATGAAGTGAGAGAGAAATTGAGATCATCATGCAAAATCAGCAAAGATCGGGGCAAGATATATTTTGACATTTCAGTGGAAAGTCTGGCTCAGGTTTGAATGAAGCAATATTTAAAATAGTTTTCTAAATAGATCATTTTATGGGTATTTCCTATTGTATTTTATATTGGGTACTGATTTGTAAGATTGACTGGTAGGTTTGTTACATTTTTAGAAGTGATACTAATATTTCCTGAGGATGAATTCTCGAGGAGAATTTCATGTACCTGAAGAAATTCTGGATATCTGCTACACATCTTTGAATTTACTTTAGCATCTAGCTGAGGTTTAGATTTTGGGGGTGAAGCATAAAAGGAGATTTTTTTTTTTTTAATCTGTATTAAAAAATACTTGTTCAAAAGTAATTAGGAATCACTGCAGGTGAGAAGTGAAGGTCAGCAAATTGCCATCCCATTAGAATAAAACAGCTAAGTTATATCTCATTACCACTTAAGCAACATGAGGACAGGGATTGCCTTTTTTATTTTTTTTTAAGTCTCCCAAGCTCTTAGTGTCTAGCAGCATATAGTAGAAATCCCACACCCCCAAATGTGTGGGATGAATTGGTAAGCAGGTGTTTTCCATCCAGTATTTTAGTTAATAACCTCAATAGCTTTGTGAAGATAGGCATGATTATCTTCATTAGTCATTAGGCTTAGTAATATGTAATCTGCCCAGGGTTGCTCAGCTAGTAATCATAGAGCTGGAGCTCAAGCCCTATGCTCTTAACCCCAATATACAGTGTACCCCAGAGAGCTATGAGGGAAATATGATAAAGCTTCTCTTGACTGTCTGTATTTCCCTTCTCCCCCAAACCTGTGTTGCTCACATAACACACTAAGCTTCTATTCTTTCATCTGTCCTTCCTTTTCTCTAGAGGAATAGAAAATGTTAGATAACCAAAAAGATGGGAGACTGGGTAAATGGAAAAAAATTTAAATACAAATTATAGGCACAGAAGACCCCCCACCCCAAATCCATGGAGAGACATTCCAAAAACCCCAGAATCCTATATATACTATGTTTTTTCCTATATATTCATACTTATGACAAAGTTTAATTTATGAATAAGGTGATTTCATGGATATAAGATTGATTTTTGCCATATATCTTAGCAACCTCAGCATACAGTTTTTTTCTTTCCTTATTCAGTCAGGAACTTTCACCTTTTCACTTAAAGGAAACACTTTACTGCTTCTCTTGGGCATATTCAAATTGCTAGCATCACCACTCTTACACTTTTGGGTCATTCTTAAGTAAAATAATGGATACTTGAACACAAGCACTATGATACCATGACATGGCACTAAGTGACTAATGGGTGGTTAGCATATACACTCTGGATACACTGGACAAAGGGATGATTCATTTCTTAGATGGGACAGCATGAGATTTCATCAAGCTACTCAGAACAATGTGCAATTTAAAACTTAAGAATCCTTTATTTCTAGAATTTTCCATGTAATATTTTCAGACAGTGGTTGACCACAGATAACTGAAACCACAGATGAGAAGGGATTGCTCTATTAGGTGCTTTAAAGTCTTCGTACGTAATTTTTATATTTAAATGTCAATAGTTTGTGTGATTCAAAAGCTTTCTCAGAAATGTGTTTCCAACATTATTTTCCTCACCAGGTTCATCGTCTGAGATCAGTTGATAATTTATTTGTGGTTGTTCAGGAGCTTAAAGATTTCCAGTTCAAAGAAACAAAGGTGAGCTATCCCAACCAAACATGGTAGCTGATTTTCAGCCATCATCCCCCAAAAGATTATTTCTACTTTTCATGTTCTATCCTTTAGCATTACTGCTGCTTTTATCATATAGAATACTGGGAAAGTTTTTACAAGAAAATTTAGAGATTTGTTGACAGTCCATCCCAAAAGTTGTCTCTAAAATTTTTTTTTATTGATTTGAGGAAGAATCATTGGTTGATTCTTGTATGTACCCTGACTGGGGATCAAACCTTCAATCTAGGTGTATTGGGATGGTATTCTAACCAACTGAGCTGTTTGGCCAGGGCCCAAAAGTTGTTTCTAAAAATCAGTATTGGAGGAGGTGGAGAGTGGGCAAAATGAGTGGAGGAGGTCAAAAGGTACAAAATTCTAGGAATAAAGTAAGTAATTGGGATGCAATTTAAAACATGGCAACTATAGTTAATACTGTTATATAGTATATTTCCAAGTTGCTAAGAGAGTAGATCTTAAAAGTTCTCATCACAGGAAAAAATTTTTTGTAACTATGTATGGTGGCAGATGTTAACTAAACTTACTATGATGATCATTTCTCAATATATACAAATATTGTATACCTGAAACTAAAATGTATGTGTCAATTATACCTTATTTTTTTAAAAAGATGAAAGAATAAGAAAATATAAAAATTAATATTGAAGCCGAAACCGGTTTGGCTCAGTGGATAGAGCGTTGGCCTGCGGACTGAAAAGTCCCAGGTTCAATTTCAGTCAAGGGCATGTACCTTGGTTGTGGGACATCCCCAGGTGGGGAGTGTGCAGGAGGCAGCTGATGGATGTTTCTCTCTCATCGATATTTCTAACTCTCTATCCCTCTCCCTTCCTCTCTGGAAAAAAATCAATAAAATATATATTTTTTAAAAAGGGAATTAATTAGCAGATCTGTCTTTTTAAAAAATCATTCCACCTAATATTTTTCAGGTTGTGGGCAAAAAACATTTATTTAACTTGCATGGCTATAGTAGTTTGCACCATAGAAACTGAGAAAATAAAAATTTATGCATTCAGGCAATAATCTAATGCTACATTGAGCATGCAGTCAATCATACCGCAGCAACAATACTTCTTTGTTCTATTTTAAGAGTTTAAACTCTTTTGTCTTTAGAACTAAAATAAAGTTTTAAGAAATGTGCCTAAGTTTCTATCCCAAATGTTATAATAACCATTTATTTTTTAATAATCAGTTCTAACTGTGGCTCTTCCCTTTCTGTCTGGTTTCTCTTATTAAAACAAGTTAACTCTCAACGGCCTACGTTAGTAAAGAAAAAGGTACTATAAATGCAGAGGTAGTGTAACTGCCAACAGGTCCTTCCAGGTTCTTCTTCATAAATAAACCGTCCTTGGATACCAAACAGTTGATTATTAACTACAGATCATCCTCCTTCACAAAGCCGTGAGAGCAAAAACTATATGTGTTGTGGCATGCAGAAGTTAGTGGGAGGAGGTAGAATTTTTCAACACAGGCCAAAGATCACAACAGGACAGAAATACAAAACTATGGTCCTGATCGGTTGGCTCAGTGGATAGAGCGTCGGCCTGCGGACTGAAGTGTCCCGGGTTCGATTCCAGTCAAGGGCATGTACCTTGGTTGCAGGCACATCCCCAGTGGGGGGTGTGCAGGAGGCAGCTGATCGATGTTTCTCTCTCATCGATGTTTCTAACTCTCTATCTCTCTCCCTTCCTCTCTGTAAAAAATCAATAAAATATATTTTAAAAAAATTAATATTGGAAACATCAAATTTAAAAGAAATAAATTGTTTCACTTTCTTTTTTATTTTTTGACTTTGTTACAAAAGATTAGCTTTGCTAATATATATGGTTTCAAATAGAATTGCTTCCCACCTGTGAGCCAAAGAGCAAGTGACAGTTTGTATCATCTACAAATAACACTTTCCCTCACCATTGGGCTTTTGCCTGGCTTTTTTCTCTAAGTTTAGTTTTTGAAATAAAGCCAAAGTACTATCCCAATAATCCTTCAGTTGTTAAGACAACAGCTTTGTCTCCAACCTGTATTTAGCATCTGATTTGTAAATATTGAGAGGCTGCCTAAGCTGAAGGTTGAAAATAGATCTCGGTAAGGCTTTAGTATTTTTCCACATTGCTTTTTGGTCAGGTTTCCAGAACCAAATGCTTGAAAACTTTTTTCTATTAGTTTTATTGCCTATATGAGAAATAACCTGTTTTTAAAAACTATCATATGGTGCTTAATTCTCTAATTTTTATTTATTGGCAACAGGTTGATTTCCAAAATATCATTCAAAAACCAATCAGCCCTGGCCTGGTGGCTCAGTTAATTTGAGCATCATCCCATACACCAAAAGATAGCAGGTTTGATTCCCGGTCAGGGTGGGAGGCAACTGATATAATGTTTCTCTCACATTGATGTTTCTCTCTTTCTCTCTCCCTTTCTCTCTCTCTAAAAATCAATAAAAAACATATCCTGGGGTAAGAATTTAAAAAAAAAAATACACATACAAAAACAAAGTGGTTTGAACCCACAGCCTAGAAAAAATTAAAACCAGACCTAAAAGAATTCAGAGTGAAAATAGATAAAAGTTGTGATAACCAAAAATGTACTTTCAACACTAGTATTATATCACTTCAGACTTCTGATAGTCATTGCCAACTGAATCGTTATCTGTGAAACTAGTAAATGATAGGCAGGCTACTAAACATTTTTGCCACGGAGTATTTCAAAATGTTAATAGCCACAAATAAATGTTAGCAGGCATTGAAAAACTAGAAGTTTTAAAAATTTTAATTCTTGTTTCTAACTTGGTGGGTACTATTAAGACAGTGGAACCTCGTTTCTCGAACTTAATTAATTCCAGAAGGCTGTTCGAGAAGCAATTTGTTTGAAAACGGAATCATTTTTTCCCATTAGAAATAATGTAAATTGAATTAATCTGTTCCAGACCCCAAAATGATTCTTTGTTTCAACCTTTCTTATATTCAGTACAGGCCTAATGTACTGTTTAATCTATAAATAAACACTTCTTAAATTTATCAAACCACCTCCTACTAGCCTTAAAGGAATTGCCTCCAAAATGCTATCACTGGCTTACTGCCTTTCCTTTATCTAATCAACAACAGTTTTTCTACCTATTCAATTGCCTATGATTGCTGTTTTGTGAGCACTTTCACACCCTTAGCAACATTAGCACTCTTGATGGCCTCTTTATGTTTTAAAATTGTGCTAATCGCCAGCAACAAAAGGATTGCTTGCAAGACTTTTTGTCATGCTGAGGTATCCACATGAAAGGGTTGTTAGGTCGAATACTGAAGTTTTGGTCCACAGTGTAGATATTTTTTTCTGAGAACAACTTAGTTGAGAGCCGAATTGTTAGAGATGAGAGATGTTCGAGAAACGAGGTTTGACTGTATTCTCTTAATTCCTGCGTTTTTTTTCCATCTTAGAGTTTGTATTATTTTGGTGTTTTTGATCTCTAATTGGTGGTAAATCTGATATTATGTAATGGTTCTACGTGAGCCAGCTTTTCGGGGTTGTTTTGTAAGTAACTACAAAAGAGGTTGCTGGTGAAGTCCCAAAAGAAGATGAAGTATTAAAGTAGATTTTCAGATCTGTGCATGGGCAACTTCTGTTGTGTGTGACCATGAAAAATTGTTAAGCCCTTCACTTTGTAGACTTTAGTTGCAACATGCCCCAGTAAAACATTGCTTTTAAACATTTGCTTCTAGCTTTTATTCTGTTGACCATCAATTTTATTCTTTGTAGCATTATACTTTCCCTTGTCTTATAAAAAGCCTGTTAGTTTAAGCATTTTAATTGGTATTTTTAAGTATTCAGATGATGTCATGAATCTTTTTTTTTTTAAAGGCTAGCATCTGTGAATTATTTTTCTTTGAACTCTACAAGCTCCTGTTTCTTCTTCTGGTGGCTCACCCCCTCGTTCTGCTTGTCTATCTCTGCCTTGAGCTCTTATTTTTTCAAAGGTATAGCCTCATTACATTTTTTGATGCCATATCCATATGTTTGATTATAGCTTTCAACTGCTCTTCGGCATTGTCTTTCTGGTCAGTTGTTTTTTGTTTTACTCTATTTGTTTTTCTGTTCCTTTCCTCCTTTTTCCTTTTTATGTCCCTGTAAATCTTGTGCTGATAGCATTGATAATTGCTCATCTTTGAATGAGGGAGTTCCTCTTGGACCTGTTATTTAGAGGAGGTTCTCCTGGGAGAAGCCAGAAACTGTTAACACCAGGTCAGCAAGAAATCCCTCTGGTTTGCTTTGAAGTTCCTTCTGACAAAGGGCTGTGGGTGAATGAGTTCTCTTCTTTTTTTAAAAAATAGCTTTACTGAGATAATTTTAAAAAATATATATATATATTTCAGAGAGGAAGGGAGAGGGAGTGAGAGATAGGAACATCAATGATGAGAGAGAATAATTGATCGGCTGCCTCCTGCACATTGCCTGCTGGAGACTGAGCCTACAACCGGGCATGTGCCCTGACCAGGAATCGAACTGTGACCTCCTGGTTCATAGGTCGATGCCCAACCACTGAGCCGCATTGGCCTGATGAGATATAATTTCCACACCATTAAATTAGTTTTGTTTTTTTTTTAAATATATTTTATTGGTTTTTTACAGAGAGGAAGGGAGAGGGACAGAGTTAGAAACATCGATCAGCTGTTTCCTGCACACCTCCTACTGGGGATGTGCCCACAAACAAGGTACATGCCCTTCACCGGAATCGAACCTGGGACCTTTCGGTCTGCAGGCCGACGCTCTATCCACTGAGCCAAACCAGTTAGGGCTAAATTAGTTCTTTTAACTATTACTTCTTCCTAGCCTAAAGAGATCAGCACCTTCGGGGTTATTTACTATATCGAGTACTGTTCCCAATTCTTCCTTACCAATGGACTGCTTTCAGCAAATAGAACTTGTCTGTGAGGCTCCTTGTTCAGTCTCCATTTCTTTCCCCTGCTTCTTCTTGGTACAAACGGAGTCCAGTGCACATACTTCTTCCCTGCTGTTCCCAAGAAGAGTTTATTTGCTGCAGCTATGCAGACTGGTCTACCCTTTATCTGAGATCTATAGGCATTCTTCCTCTATGTCAGTGGTTCTCAACCTGTGGGTCGCGACCCCTTTGGCAGTCGAACAAACCTTTCACAGGGGTCGCCTAAGACCATCCTGCATATCAGATATTTACGTTACGATTCATAACAGTAGCAACATTACAGTTATGAAGTAGCAACAAAAATAATTTTATGGTTGGGTCACAACATGAGGAACTGTATTTAAAGGGCCAGAAGGTTGAGAACCACTGCTCTGTGTCTTCCTGCACCTGTTTGACCTTCACGGCACTTGGGAATTCTTATGTTAGAATTCCCATGTTATGGTTCAAGGTTATGAATATCATGCAGATTCTATTAAGATAGAGTTGGTATTTCTGTTGTTTTTTCTTTTACAATGGTTTCTGAAGAAAGAAAGGGACTGTACCAGTGTTATTCCACCATGTTAAACCTAGATGCCCTTTATAGGAAAATTATTTGTAAATGGAATTAGATCTGCCAAACCTGAAATTTACCATTATTTTATCAGGTTTCTAGTAGTATCAAAGCCTTCACTCACTTCCATTTCAAGTTTTAGTTCCATCAGCCAGGATTGATTTCGTTCTGCTTTGATCTTCAATGACATGTACTGTCTACCAGCACTCTGCAGTAGCTTTGTAATGGCAATGTTCTGTGTCTATGCTGTCCAGCATGATAGCCACTGGCCACCAGTGTGTGAAATGTGGCTAATGTGACTGAATTTTAAATTTTTTAAATCATTTAAATATTGGCTACATGTGACTGATGGCTGCTGAATTGGACAGCTGTGTACCACCCATTTTAACATTTAATCACGTTATCCAACAGCTATTGATTGAATACCTTTTGTATATCAAGCACTTTTCTACGAATGTGGCTTATAGCAATGGTCAAGACAGGTAAAGTCCTTCCCACCCTGCACTTAATTCTGGGAGGAACTTTGGTGGTGAATGTTAGAAATGCTCTCAACTATGTGGCAGGAATGAGTCAAACACTCGAAACTGGATGGGCAGGGCAAATTAGCTCCTGCAGAAGGGTGCTGTTGCCAGCTGGGAATCCTGGGCAAAGCACGCGAATGGGAAGTCCCTTCAGGGTTTTATTTCCTGACGCGGGTCTGCCCTGCCTTTCACTCTGAACTCTGACTTGATTGGTCAGGGCTCAGAGCTCGGGTTCCCATTATTGTGCGATTGGCTAATTCAGAGGAAGGGGAGGGGTAAGGCGGAGCATAAGATGGCGGCCCCCTGAGACTCTGATGGTCATATCAAAATGGCAGCGAGCTCCTGTCTTTGATGGAAAAGATCGCTGGTTCACTCTCACAGTGAACAATATATAAACCTAGTAACTTCAGATAATGCTAAGCTCTGTAAAGAAAAGAAAATGAAAGAGAAGACTTGAGAGGACTAATATTAGTAGAGCAGGTCTCTCAGAGGAAATGCCTTTTAAATTGCTATTAGATAATGAGAAGAAAGCCAGCAGTGCAGAGACCATGTGAACCAAATAACTTCCAAGCAGAGGAAGTGAGGGCAAGAATGATCCTGAAGTGATGTATGAGAAGTAGGCAGGAGTGAGATTATGTTGGGCTTCTTAAAGAATTTCGATTTTTTTCATGTGCATTGGGAAGCTATTGACAGACTCTAAACAAGGGAGGGGAGGGGCACAATCAGATTTCCTTTTTTTTCTCTCTCTCTTTAAGCCTTGCCGAAACAAGGCCACTAGATTTCCTTTTTTAAAGGATGAGTTTAGATACTATTTAGAAATTGGATAGATAAATTTTTAACTGCTCAAAATTTTTTTCTTTTGAAAAATAGTTAATATGGTCCTGGCTGGTGTGTCTTGGTGGTTGGAGCATCAGCCCTCGCATGGAAGGGTCTCAAGTTCAATTCCCGGTGAAGGGCATGTACTTGGGTTACAGGTTTGATCCCCAGCCCTGGTCAGGGGCGAGTGTGGGAGGCAGCCAATGGATGTGTCTCTCTCACATCAATGTTTCTCTCTCCCTCTCTCCCTCCCTGCCTCCTTCCTCTCACTCTCTAAAAATTAATGGAAAAAATATCCTCAGGTGAGGATTAACAAAAAAAAGTTAGTATGTATACACAGCACAAAATTTAAAAGGTAATCAGTGAGAATGAGGTAAGTTGCCCTCCTTTTCTTTCATCCACCCACTTCCCATCTCTGGAGGTAACCACTGTTAATAGTTTCTTATTGCTTACATTTTAATCTTGAAGCTCAACTTCTGATCTATTGTTCTGTCTTGTATTCTTCTTTAGTGATTTAATTTGTATATATCTTAATTTTCAATGAGATTTTTATTTCCTCAATTACAACCATTATTTTATTGACTCTTGTTTTGCACCCCTACCACCCTTAACATAATGATTAGTGTCATCTGCAGGCAAAGTAGGAGTTTATTTGTCTAATTAAAGTGGTGAAAAATTAATGGATTTTATTCTCTGTCCCTTCTAGGAAAAAGTCCTAAAGGATTTTGAAGAATTAGCTGGGAAGCTTCCATGGTCAGACCCTTTAAAAGTATGGAAAATTAACACCAGTTTTAAGAAAAAAAAAACAAAGCGCAAAAAGTTAAATCAGAATTTAAGTAAAGAGAAGATTGATAATGGAGGAGACAAAAGAGATGAGAGAGATGTTAAAAAAGAGTTGTCTAATAATGCCTTAGATTCACATATTTTAGACTACTATGAAAAGCCAGCCATCAAAGAAGAGATATCAACATTAGTAGGTGATGTTTTGGCATCTTGCAAAAATGAGAATGATGAGAGCTCAAAAGAAGACACTGATCCCGAAGTGCTAAAGTTTAGAGTCACATGCAACAGGGCAGGAGAGAAACATTGCTTTTCCTCAAATGAGGCTGCAAGAGATTTTGGGGGTGCTGTTCAAGATTATTTTAAGTGGAAGGCTGACATGACCAACTTTGATGTGGAGGTAGGTACAGGCTCTGATTGTGATGATTCAAGAATGCCATTATAGATTTGTAGAATTTTCAGGCTAATTTAATCTATGGACAATTAAACAGGCCACAGAGCTAATAGTGTGTGGCTAATAAGAGCATGGGCTGTGGAGACTGATATAATCCAAATTTAGATTTTGTACTGTATAACTGGAAACAATAGTCTCTCTGAGCTTGTTTTCAAATAGAGCCAAAAGTAGTATATACCTCTAAGTGTGTCCTGAAGGTTAAATGAGATAATACATTTTAAGTGTTTGGTGTAATACCTGGTATATACTATGTGCTTAATAGGTGAGAACTATTAAGACTTGAGTTTTCTAATTTCTAATCTAGTACTTTGTACAACATTACATGGACTTTCAGATTATAAAATTCAACTAGAGTACCTTTGTTTTAGAGGGAAAAAATTTTTAATATATTTTTTCTTTATTGATTCTAGAGAGAGGAAGGGAGAGAAAGGGAAAGAAGGACAAAGAAACATCAAGCAGTTGCTGCTGCACAAGCCCCCACCAGGGATTGAACCCACAACTTGGGTATGTGCCCTTTCCAGGAATCGAACCTGCCACATTTTGGTGTACATGACGATGCTCCAACCAACTGAGCCACACTGGCCAGGGCTAGAGAATTTTTAAAAGAGTTTATTTCAGCCAAACTGACAACATATTCTGGGGATCAATTGATTATTTTTTTAGAGAGCGAGTAGGGGAGGGGGAAAGAGAGAAACATTGATGATAGAGAAACATTGATTGGCTGCCTCCTGCACGCCCCCTACTGAGGATTGTGCCCTCAATCCGAACCAGCGACCTCTTGGTGCATGGGACAATGGCCTGGCTGGAATACATTTTTAAAACAAACCCCGGATCTCCTAAAATCAGGACATCATGGTTAATACTCATCCTAGAGCCAGCTCTCCTCTTGCTTAAATTCTGCTAGATTCTCAAACCCAGATACCTCATTTTAATATGCTTACCCTCCTTAGTCTCAATCTATTACATGGGTGATTCACATGTGAACCACACTAAATTGTTTTTAAATCTCTAACAGCTTAAAAGGTCCCTAGCAGCTGATGTTTTTACCAAAAAGTCATTTTCTGTTGCTTTTGGGACACTTGAATCTGGGGCAAGCTACTTATTCTCTCTGTAACTTTTATTATATTATATATCAAATCAGAACAATAACTCCCCATTCCTTTTTTTCCTCATAAGAATAAAGAGGCTAACTAGAACACTAATGTCCAAAAGTTAGCAAGGAGGCTCAGAGGACAGATACTAGAGCCATACTACCTGGGCTCAGATCCTAATTTACAAGCAGTATGACTTTGGGCAAATAAGCTGACATCTTTGTGCCTCAGTTTTCTCATCTATAAAAAGTAGAATAATATAGTATCTAGCTCAGGGTGTGAATATGAAATGAGATAATAAACAAAGTGTGTAGAACACTGGCTTGCATATGGTTAGATAAGTGACAGCTGCTGCTGCTAAGATCATGATGAGACATTTTATTTTTGTTTTAATAGTTTATATTTAATTATATTAGAAAAACTATAGGACAGCAAACATTTCACAGACATTGAGTCAAATTTTAAAAAACATTAAGTTAGAAAATAATAGGTGATAAAGCAGATGTATTAACAATTACTTAAAAGTTAAAATTTTAGCCCTAACTGGTTTGGCTCAGTGAATAGAGCGTCGGCCTGTGGACTGAAGGGTCCCAGGTTCGATTCTGGTCAAGGGCATGTACCTTGGTTGCGGGCATATCCCCAGTGGGGGTTGTGCAGGAGGCAGCTGATGTTTCTCTCTCATTGATGTTTCTCTCTATCCCTCTCCCTTCCTCTCTGTAAAAAAATCAATAAAATATATTTTTTAAAAAAAGTTAAAATTTTAAAAATGTATATTAAGGCTCGACCTGTGTGACTCAGTGGTTGAGCGTCACCCTATGAACCAGGAGGTCACGGTTTGATTCCCAGTGAGGGCACATGCCTGGGTTGTGGGCTCGATCCCTAGTAGGGGGCATGCATGAAGCAGCCGATCAATGATTCTCTCTTATCATTCATGTTTCTATCTCTCTCCCTCTCCTTTCCTCTCCGAAATCAATCAAAAAAAAATTTTTTTAAATGTATATTAAGAAACCCATAGACATTCAAAATATGTTTATATTATAAAAATGAAGGGGGCCCTGACCGGCTTGGCTCAGTGGATAGAGCGTGGGTCTGCGAACTGAAGGGTCCCGGGTTCGATTCCGGTCAAGGGCATGTACCTTGGTTGCGGGCACATCCCCAGTGGGGAGTGTGCAGGAGGCAGCTGATCGATGTTTCTCTCTCATCGATGTTTCTAACTCTCTATCCCTCTCCCTTCCTCTCTGTAAAAAATCAATAAAATATATTTTAAAAAAATTAAAAGAATCTAAGCTGGATATATATATATATAATATGATTTCATTTATATGAAGTTCAAAACAAGATAAAACTAATATAGTAGAAGTAGTCAGATTAATAATTACTGGGAAGGGCAAAGGAGCATTCTGGTGTGCTGGAAATACTGTATATCTTTATCTGAGTGGCAGTTAAATTCACTGCGTTGCATACTTAAGATTTGTGTACTTTATGTAAAGTATACCTCAATAATAAAGTAAAAAATTTAATAAATTCTGAAATTTAAAAATCCTAATAATAAGTGCAGTTTGAACAATTCTAAAACTATTTTATTTTATCTTGCTTTATTTTAGGTGCTTTTGAATATCCATGATAATGAAGTCATTGTGGGCATTGCATTGACAGAAGAGAGTCTCCACCGAAGAAATATCACACATTTTGGACCTACAACTCTAAGATCTACTCTTGCTTATGGAATGCTCCGGTAAGAGAATGGGTTATCATCTAGCTTAAAGTGGCAATTTGGTTTCAGGTTTCCCTTCAAAATACTTTAATTTCTTGTGAGGTACTGTGTGGGGATTTAGTGGATAAAGAGGGCAAAAAGCTGATGATCTGTTTCCCTTGTGTCCAGTGTTGATTCTTTATGATCCTGAAAATATCACTTAATTACTATATCAGTTTTATTGATTTTAAAATGGGAAGATAGTTTTCATCTACCTCTTGACTGGCATTGCCACATTGTTTAGAAAGAATATACTGTATGTTGGGAAATAGAGAAAATTTTACTTTGTTTCATTTCTGCCAGTGAAGCAGATGAAAGCAGAGATTTTTAAAAAATGTCTAATGTGTAAATGAACACAGAGAGCTTTTACTTATATTTTTAAATTTTATAATCACTGCAACCTAGGAATCATCCTGGAATTTTCCACTTTCCCAAATGTAAGACCCAGCTTCCTTGCTTCTTTTCCCTGTTCCCTTTTATAATAGGTGCTTCTTTCCACCCCTCAGACAGGTTGTCTTCTCTAGGTTTCTATTTTTTAGAGTGAAAAATAGGTTTGCTGTGAATCTTCAAGGATTAGTAGTGTGGAGTAAATGCAGAAACATATGCAAAATACCTGTTATATACATGCCATATCCTGGCAGTCCTCTTTTACCTGCTCATCCATGGAGTCAGTTCAAACACAGTTAGAACCTATCAATTCGATGATAATAATAGAAAACTGGGGACATTTGATTAAGTCTTTATTTATTTAACAAACATTTACTGCCAGGCATGGTGGTGGTGTAGGAGCCAGGGACATGAATAGTTATTTTGGGTGCAATGATTAGAAACCTAAGTAAGCTAGTTTAAGATTTTAAGAAGTGTTGTTGGTGTGAGAAGGGGATTTATTGGAAAAATACTGAGAAGTCTTGGGGAATCCACAGAAAAACTGAAAGCCATGTTTCAAGAAGAGTAGGAACCAGATCTTGAAAAACTACCTAGACAGTAACTTTTGTCTCTTCCAAGGGTTTGTGTGCTCTTCTCTGCTCATGTGTGTAAATGGCTGCCCGTCATCCACAGTTATGTATTCCCATTTTCAAATGACCAACTCCCTATTGCCTAGGGCAGTGGTTCTCAACCTTCTGGCTCTTTAATACAGTTCCTCATGTTGTGGTGACCCCCAACCATAAAATTATTTTCATTGCTACTTCATAACTGTAATGTTGCTACTGTTATGAATCGTAATGTAAATATCTGATATGCAGGATGGTCTTAGGCGACCCCTTTGAAGGGGTTGTTCGACCGCCAAAGAGGTAGCGACCCACAGGTTGAGAACCGCTGGCCTAGGGCTTCTAGTTCTTTATTCTAAATTCTTGGAAGAGAGAATCCATTTGACATAGTCTTGGTCAAGTGTTCACCCAGACCCTGGCAGCAATGGCTGGGAGTACAGGGTTGCTTACTGTGAACAGGGTTGCTAACGATTCTGTTGCCATGTGTGGAGGGGCAGGAACAGGGAGGTAGAGCTGGAAAGGTATTAAAACAAGAATCCAGTGTTATCCCCAAGAATCTCAAGTCTTGAGAGGGAGGTAAATAATTACCTTACATGTAAAAATACCATAATAGAATGTGGAAAGATTAGCAGGACAAAAGGAGAAACCTAATGAGCTGTCTGAGGAGGGGGTGCTTCAGAGAGGGGGTAACATTTAAGCCACTAACAGTAATGTTTCTAATCCCAACTCTGTCACCTATTAGTTTTGTGTCTATGGATAAGTTTTGCATCAGTTTATCTGTAAAATTAGAATAGTAATAGCGACCTAGCTCATAGGGTTATTAAAAGGATTAAATGAGATGATGCATGCAAAGAGTTAAATCCAAGCCTAGCAAATACAGCAGGTCCTCAAATAACATTGTTTCTTATAGCATTGATGAGATGCCAGAGATGGTGGAACTTAACTCGTTTATATCCATTAGCCTGTGATAAAATTGGTTTCTTTATATGTCATTTCACTTAAAGTTGCAGAACCTATCAATGACATCAAGTGAGGAATTACTGTATTAAGTACTCATAGTAAAGCAAATATTTTTATAGCAAAATTATCTTTAAAATTTATAAGGAAAGGAATACTGAATGTCTAATTTCCACTTCTATTTGAAACATGTTTGTGGTTTTTTATAATGTACCAATACAGGCTTATATGCAAAATAACGTATTTTCTAAAGGCATACGTGTATATTAAAAGATCTAGAGACTAAGTTTCATCTGTAATGAAATGGGATTTTGGATAATAGTAAAAGGATACTTTAGTTATATGTAATGCTTTTTTTTCTTTTAACCGCTAAGATATAGAGTCAACATGTAATTACAGATTGATTTTTTAAATGAATATTGATTGGTGTTTCTTCATTGCTAATGTAATAGGTCCTTGATTTTATAGCTTCAGAAATAGTCACTGTGGAAGCTTCAGCTGTTGGCTGAAGTCTCTTCACATAGGTTGTTTTCTTTTCTCTAGGCTCTGTGCTCCTCAACCTTCTGATATAATAGTTGATCCGATGTGTGGAACAGGGGCAATACCAATAGAGGTAATAACTTTTCTTTAGCTTTTAATAAGCAAGTTACATTCAGAATGTTCTAGAACCAATGAGCATATTAGACATAATGAAATCAAAGGCCCCTTTTCCTCCAAAAAAAAAATATAAAAAATTTGAAGCACTTTCATGTAAGAGTAGATATGAGAATGTAAATGTAGAAAAACCTAAGCTGATATATGATCAAAATGAATGAAATTGTCAAAGGAATTGACAAGTTATATATATATAGATTTGTTCACCAAAGTATAAAATACTTGATTTAGAGTACTCCCCTTAAAACTTGGAAGTATTACAAAACCCCTCTCTTTTAGAGACTAGAAATCTAAATAGGTATTGAAGAAAAAAATGAATGTTGGGAAATCAGAATCACCTAAAAGGCTTTCATCAAACTCTAGGTCTCTTTTACATCCCCTGTACATCACCCCTCTACATCACCCTCAAGTGTCTGGGCAAAAGACAAAGCGATGAAGCACTGTGTTCATGGATGAGGGGATATTACCATTTACAAAGAAAGAGGTGTTTGTTACTAAACAGAGGGCAGAACTTTCCCTGCCTTCATGTCAGAAACCTGTTAATCTGCACAAACATTGTTGAGGCCTAGGGGAGTATGCCACCTTATTCCACAAATATGTAGCAGCTAGGTATTTACATTGTGCTGACATGTTTTTGACCTAAAATTGCAAAATCCTTTCAGGGATATGGTAGTTATTATTCAAAAGCCTATATACAATGGAGATTACATTGTATTTTGAAATTCTCAAGTATTCCAATATATCAGATTATGCAAAATCTTATAATCACAAAAGGATATAGGTTAGTTTGATTTGGTTGTTTTTTCAAACTACATTTGTATTTAAGGTCTGTAATGCCTACTATAGTGTGCCAGATACTGCTGCGTGAGGGGTTGAATAAAATACTAGACTTGAGTTCTCAGATTTGTTGAGAGTCAGACAGGCATAGAAATAATTTAAAATAGCACAGTGCAGTGACAGACATGTACAAAGTGCTCTGGGGAGGAGCAAATGAGGCAGCTTGGAGAGTTAGGGTTTATGCACACAGCTAGGTCTTGAAAGATTAGTTCAGCAAGCAGAGAAAGAATAAGGGCATTTCAAACAGGGGGTATAGCAAAGTTGACAACATGCAGTGTTTTGCCACTTTAGAAAAGCACTGGACTATTGGATTGGATGTCTTATTTGTTAACAGTTGAAATGATTTTTTTCTTTAATCATTTTTTGCAGTTTGTGACTTCTGTTTCAATATATACTCTTGTCTTTTAGGGGGCTACTGAATGGTTTAACTGCTTTCATATTGCTGGTGATAATAATCCATTGGCTGTGAATAGAGCGGCAAATAACATCTCATCTTTACTGACCAAGAGCCAAATTAAAGAAGGGTACATTTTTTTTCAATCCTCACCTGAGGATACACTTACTGATTTTTAGAGGGGAGCGGGGGAGAGGGGGGAAAAAAACAGTGATGTGTGAGAGAACATCGAGGGGTTGCTTTCTGTACGTGCTCCAAAGGGGGATCAAACTCACAATCGAGTTATGTGCCTTGACTGGGAATCAAACCCACAACCTATACAGGCCAGTACTCCCAACAACACTCACAACAGCCAGGGCAAAAAAGGGTAACCTTTTTAAAGTTTCTATAGCATATCTTAGACTTAGGTATTGACTTTATATGATTAATACCCCCAGTGTACTATGGCATGATTTAATCAAAATAAACATATCGAGACTCCATTTAAATTTTAAACAATTGTTTATTGATTTTAAAGAGGGAGAGAAATGTCAATTTGTTGTTCCACTTATGCATTCATTGGTTGATTCTTATTTTTCTATTTTCTGAACATTTTCTTGTTTTTTAGACCCTCTATACCTTCACTTTTTGTCTGTTCCATCTGTACTATTTCTTGCCTAGATTTTTTTTAAATGTTTTTATTGATTATTAGAGGAAGGGAGAGGGATAGAGAGATCGAAACATTGATAATGAGAGGAACATCATTGATTGGCTGCCTCCTGCACACCCTCTACTGGGGATTGAGCCATCAACCTGGGCATGTGCTCTGACCAGGAATCAAACCAGCAACCTCTTGTTTCCTGGGTTGATGTTCAACCTCTGAACCACACCAGCTAGGCTTCTTACCTAGATTTTTAATATATTTTTTTTTATTTTGTTGCAATTATTGGTGCTTTTGATTGTAAAACTTTTTTTCAATGTGTTTCTCACCCACCCATTATATCATTTTTCTTAAATTCTTTATTATATATCAATAGTATAACCCTTCATTTATGCTCATATTTTGTTTTCCTGTTGTATTTTATTTCTTAAACCAGTAGCTTTGCCTTAATGGAATTTAAATCATGCTATTATTTATTACCTTTTGTCATCTATATTAATATATGACAAAGAGGGAGGGGGATAGAGAGAAACATCAATTTGTTGTCCCACTTATTTATGCATTCATTGGTTGATTGTTGTATGTGCCCTGAATGGGGATCAAAAAACCCGCAACCTTGGCATATTGGGATGATGCTCTCACCCAGGGGCGGGGAACATCCAGCAGGTGGCCTGAAAAATATTTGGTCCGGCCCTGCCGAGGCAACCAAAGATAGGACTCGAAATTCAATAAACCTGGGAACTTCTTTCATAGCAACATAAATTTATATTAAGTGAATTATATTAAGCTAATGATGTTATAAATATTCAAATGGCCCTTGGCAGAAAGTTTCCCCACCCCTGAACCAATTAAACTACCTGGCCAGGCCCTGTCCTCTCTTTTTTTTATCTTACCTTTCTTTGCTTCTTATTTAATAATACGATACAAATACTTGTTTCTTAATCTTAAAGTACCTCTATATTCACTAATTTTACATATCTGCTTTTAGGTCTCCTGTTATTACTATGTAGATTTATCAAACTTTATCCTTCAGATATGTCACCTCACTTTTTTTTCCCTCTTTAGCATTGATCCAGTGTCTATTTTATCAATGTTTTACATCATCAGTTACATAATTTACTGTTGCAAGTTTTCAGTTGTCTATTACAGTTGTGTTGCAATCTTGTTTTTCCCCTTGATCCTTTCTCTTAAATCGTAAGTGAAGCAGATGAAATCTTTTGCACACCAACCTAACGATTAAAAATCACTTGCTTATTTTTATAAATTTGGCTTTATCTTATAAGCATATACTTTCTTTCTGCATTCTACTTTAAAATTTTTGATATTGTCAATATCAATTGATATTTTAGTATTTTGTACTTTATAGCAGTCTTTTCAGAAAAACATTCTTCAGAATATGTTGAAGCACCTTTCCTTTGTCCCCACAGCAAATTGTCCTGGGGCTTGCCCATAGATGCTATTCAGTGGGATATCTGCAATCTGCCATTAAGAACTGGTTCTGTGGACATTATTGTAACCGACATGCCATTTGGAAAAAGGTGGGACTTAGTTTTCTAAAATATGAGTTTTACCTTCACTTGTTATACTAGTACCCATGTGTCTTCTAAACCTGTTTCTGAGTTTATGTAAAAATCTTTCATTCCTTTTAGCAGACTGTCAGCAAAGCAATTTTCACTTAAGGATTATAACAAGACTATTCAAGCACAGGTGGGGTCCAGACGGCCCGCCCCAATTGGGACAGGGGTGGGAGAGTGGGGGGAGGCCAGGGGCGGTTGGCCAGCCAGCCCCACCCCCGATTGGGGTGGGGTGGGGGTGATTGGGGTTTGAACTGACCAGGGGGAGGGGCTACAGGTAGTTGGCCAGCACAATTTGCATGTTAGCTTTTTATTATATAGGTTATTGGATTTCACCCATTTTTTCTTCTTCTGAAAACTGAGGAATGTATTATATTTTAATCCTGACCATCACAGGAAGTTCATCCTCTTTCTAGACCATTGTTGAATTACATAATTCAAAAAGGTTGAGGAAAACTTGGTTCTATTTCTCAATATAAATTATTTTTAATCACTGATTTGGTTCCTACAATTTGACTGCTCATGCTCATTGAGGACAGTTTATATACTTACAGTTCTCAAAGTTCTTTTCTGTAAACTGATTTATCTGATTCAAAATTCTATGCAACTTTAGGTCTGATTGCTTATTTCATTGACATATAATGCTCTAGCTTCTAAATGGCAACTGTTTTTCATACCTCAGGATCTTACTGCAATGAGTTTTTCTGTTAATTCTCACCCAAGGATATTTTTCCATTGATTTTTTAAGAGTGAAAAGGAGGGGGACAGAAACATGGATTAGACCAGCGGTTCTCAACCTATGGGTTGCGACCCACAGGGGGTCGAACGACCCTTTCACAGGGGCCGCCTAAGACCATCGGAAAACATATATAATTACATATTGTTTTTGTGATTAATCACTACGCTTTAATTATGTTCAATTTGTAACAATGAAATTGGGGGTCACCACACCATGAGGAACTGTATTAAAGGGTTGCGGCATTAGGAAGGTTGAGAACCACTGGATTAGAGAGACACATTGATTGGTTCCTCCCACATGCACCCTGACCAGGGCCAGCGATCAAGCCGCAACCAGTACATGCCTTTGCCTGGAATCGAACCCAGTACTCTTCAGTCTGCAGGCTGACACTCTACCCACTGAGCCAAACAAGCTAGGGCTGCCATGAGTTTTTAATAACTTCTCAGTCTTAGATATTTTTTGCATGTTTGACTCACTGGACCTTCTGTTATAGGATGGGCTCCAAGAAAAGAAACTGGAACCTTTACCCAGCTTGCCTATGGGAGATGAGCCGTATCTGTAAACCAGGGACAGGCCGAGCTGCACTACTTACTCAGGACAAGAAATGCTTTACAAAGGTACAGTGCAATAACTCAAAGACTCAGCCTGAAGACCCAGGAATACAGTGGTGCCTTGACTTACGAGTTTAATTCGTTCCGTGACGGAACTCGTAACTCCAATTACTCGTATGTCAAATCAATTTTCACCATTACAATGAATTGAAATGC